GCTCATTAGGCACAGAAGAATCCTTTACGCTCAGCTTTTTGACTGTACTCCATCAATTCAGCCCAATCAACAGATTTTCTCAATCTAGAAACAAAGCAAAATGAAACAAGGGAAATTAAATAGTGAGCAGATCATTCATCTCTGCTCAGCTTTCAAGGCTGCTATAAATGTTTTTTTCAGTTATGACATGCTGAAAACAATAAGCCACCTGAAAACTATGGCCATGATTTTAACAACTGCATTATTTTCAAGAAAATTGAAAATGCTGTTTTAAAATACAACTTTATTTGGCTGTTTTGTATGTATTTTCAGGCCTAAAATACAGGCCTTGCTATTCTGCTCAGGACTGGGAAAAAAGTTTAATTAATTGGTTAAAAAAGAGACACTCCTTCATCCTGGTATGCAGAAGAATAACCTGGCACATTATAGTCAGCAGAAACGACTAAAACACCTGCTCCCAGTCATACCACAATATTTATTTCAGAAGCTGCTATCTATTATTTTATATAAAGTATATGCTCCTACAGGCCTGGGGGTAGTTTAAAATATTTCATTATTATGGCTATTCTGCCACATGTCCTTTTCAAAAGGGCCAAGCAGTGTTAAAGTGGCTGTATTTTAGAGCAGGCAGGACTGATGGAATATATTACCCCACATTTTTATGGCAATGGATGGATTTTCCTTGTCACCAGCAAACTATGCTTTCTGCATGGCTGGGGATAGTGGCAGATTTTTTTAATTAACATTTGAATCTATTATTTATGAGTGCATTCCCTGATGTCTGAATCCAAGGGCAAGCCCTGCTGTGCTTGACATGGTCTCTCACACGAGACCTTGAAAGGACCTCCACCTACAAGTGGAGAGACCTGAGACTTGCTGCATGACTGACTGCTCCTGCCTGTCAGGCAAGGACAAGCATTCAGGGACTAAAGATTTCCCAGTTCTCAATGTCCTTGCCCCAAACATCATTTTCTAAGGAGAATCATGTGTTAGCTCACTGCTAGTTCCCAAACTTGCAGATGTTAACAGAAGACCTTGTTGTTAAGGCAGGCCCTTTTGACACCAGGAGCAGCCTAAGGCTGTGAATTTCTGACAAGCTGCTCAACCAGCACATCATGCTTGGGGTGACAGGCACGTTCAGCCAAGAAAAGTGAAAACCACTGTGCAGTTGTTCCACTTCCTCCAAGACAGACCCACCAAGAGAGTCAGTACTCCTGACCTGGTGGTGCTCACAGGGCTGGAAAATCTATCGATGCAGTCACTCAGAAGGCAGCTCTCTTTTATCCTCAATAATTATGAGAGTCAGGCATACATTAAGCACATGGCAAATAATGTACATTTTCTGTGGACGGAAGATTTTAAAATTTCCAACAAATTTACAAATTATTTTGTGTTGTGAGCATTTAAAAATGTTTTTAAGGGAGTATACCTAATGCCACAAGGTTTATATTTAAAAATCTTTCTGTAATTTATTTAAATTTCTGTTCTCATTGTGTTTTCTACAGCAGAGCAATAGTTGTATATCTGTGCATCTGAGATTCTGGTGTTTTACCATCACTAAAGAACTGCTTGAAGATGGTAATATGTGGCTTTTAGGTGCAGAATTCAAAAACAGGAATGCATGTGTGAGACTGAATGTGACTGCTACAAAACAGTGAACTATGGAAATGATGTAGTTTTGCACAACTAAAGGAAGGATCAAAGTGCTTACAAAAGTACTTATTACCCTACCAATGCTACCAAGTATCTAATTCTTTAATTGCCATTAAAATGAATGTAAATATAAAAAGTGAAGGGATTGTTTAACAGAAATAAACTGGAGCAGTTGAATATTAACTTGTTTTTCATAGGAAATACAAAGCTTCTGTATGGAATGGATATTTTTTGCAGTCCTTGAGTAGGCAGCTCAATCTGCACAATGCTGTTTCCTATGGACAAGCACACTGGCTCTGCATATAAATGCATGTTGGCATTCAAGGTCATTTGGACTCTTCCAATTCAGATTTCAGAAAAGGTATTGCAGTTCTCAGAAAGGAATTGCAGTTTTCCATAGGCTTTATATGTTATGAGTGACTGAATACACTGACCTTTCTGAAGCAACATCTGGAAAATACACAAGGAGCTTCAGCCATCAGCAGTGGTCTTTAATCAAGGTTTGCAACAAAGCTCAATACTTTTCTGATCTCTAAAGGCATTTTAAAATCAATTTATGAATGATGATTTAACATAATATATCATTTGTGATACTTGTTTTCAGGAAGGGTGACTTGAAGAGGCATGGACCTATTTCCTTCCTATTAAATAAACTCAGAGGTTTGTTTATAAAAAATTTATAGCTATTAAAAAAGGAACAAAGCTATTTAAAAAAAAGAACAAAGTTACAGAAGTGGTTGTAATTATTCTATCAATAATCAATGGAAGTGTAACTTCTGGATTTCACATAATCACTCTATATGTGATTTTGATGCTGGGTTACTAAACTGTTTTGTTGTTCACTTACTTTTTATTGTGTTGAATGAGAAGCTGTACCTATGATCATAAAATAAATTCACTTTTCTCAAAACCAGCTTTCAATTCTGTTGTCCTGTAGTCAATAAAAATTGCTGAAAAGTACAAAGGGAAGAGAAGCAAGCAATTATAGAGATAAAGAAGAGCTGTTCTTGAGCAGTAACATTTATAAGTCACAAAAGCTATATGATTTCATATCCAAATAGCTGGTTGCCATTACTCTTTTCCTTAGGGTAAATTACTCCATTTAAATCACTCTTTTGATGAAAAATTATCTTACAAAAATTTAATTCAGGAAACAGAGTTTGTTCTTTCCTAGCAACTGTCTTTCCACCAGCTTTAATGACCCTGAAATTAAAGGGCTCAGAGACTGTTTACACTTGTATTCAGCTATGGGGCATTAAATTACTCTGCACAGGTCTTAAAAAGTCAGCTCAGAGTTCTCAGTTGCATGTCATAGGTAGTATTCAAGCAGAGTCCATCCATATACTAGTGTGTAGCTTTATTCATGGAAAGGGTTTGCAAGTACTTTTAAATGCCAAAGCTTAGATAAATCTAAGAATACTTACAGTTATTCCTGTCCAAGAAGGTCAGCTAGGTCTAAAATGTTAGGTCCTTTTGGTACCTAAAGGAGGATATTTGTTTGTTTCCTTTCCTTGTTCCAAGAGTTCAATTACTTTTCATTGCCAGTGCTGTTGTAATGGTATGAAGATAAAGCTGAACTATTTCACATGGTGAACTACTGGACTGCGAGCAGGAATCAAACCATCACGTAAGAATCTGACTGCCCCTGGTCCATGCTTGTAGTGTAGCAATTCAGAAGTAAATTTGCCTCATGCTAATTAGACATCCCTCATTCATTCTCTTCTTCAGTCTCTTATGTCTTTGTAGTAAGTTCAATCTTGTTACCTAAATTCAGGATAACACATAATGATTGGTGCTAATCATTTATACTGCTGTTAAGGCCATTGGTCAGGAATCTGTGCATAGCAAAAGACAGTTATTGCTGTCCTCAAAATATTTAATGGTTATGGTCATAAGCAATTGGAAATTACTATTTGAGGGCTTCTGTCCCATAGACATTTAATAAACCAGAATAGAAACTTACATTACTCAAACAAGACTGAATTAAACAAAACTTGTGTAAAATAAACACATTTATTAACAAAATGTTAGACAAATAGAATGTAATTGTCATCTTTGTTCACTGATTGCCTTTTGCAGTCCTGAAAACAATTATATGCTTAATTAAATACAGTACTTCCCTTATAAGACTTATAAAGAGTGCCCATTTGCTAAGTTCAAGTGCTTATTAGAGAGGACTTAGGTGTTTGTTTTTTTTTTTAAATTCGCTATCCTTACCGTCAGGAGTGTTTTACAGATAGGTAAAATTGCTACATACTTGAACTAAAGTTTTAACACTTAAGTAAAATATGAAGAATACTTCAAAAGTCTTTGACCATTTTATTAACAAATACGTTTTAATTAATATGTAGTGGCGTAAGATTAAATTCAAAAATCATTAAGTAAAATAGATGCTTCTGCAGATATAAGATTAAAAAAATAGTATTTTAAAACTACTAAAAATCCCTCAACATGTTATCTTCTCTGTGCTTTCATTATTCTTTTAAACATGGTGCTTATTCACTTTATTTCAGCTGTAAGGTTTCTACCTTCACCTCTGTTTCACTTAAGAATCCATTAAAATTTTATTAACTCCTTTAAAACATGCAAAACAATACAGCTTCCAGGAAGAAGAGCTAAAAAGCCAAAGAGCCACAGAACTCACTGCAAGAATATTGATAAATAAAACATCAGTTAATTACAGTTTAAGGCTAAATCCTTGGCTGGTGGAAATGGGCAATCTCTACCCACAGCAGAGCCCAGATGCACCAGTCGACTGCCAGCTTCAAGTTCCAAGTCATGACAAGTTGCTTTGTTTCTCCATAGAGCAGAACAATGTCTATCTCAATAGTATTTCATTATAATTCGTAACATCACTAGGAAAGTTACATTTTCAAAGACAGTATGTTGATTTTGAGTCCCCTCCAATTATATGCATTTGAAAGTAGATTTCTTGGAACAGTTGAAAGAAACCTTGGTTCAAATTATTGCATAATATGAATAAAAAAAAATCACAAAAGTGCATATATGTATGTATACACACAGAAGGAAGCCACACCGCCACTTGCAGTGCAGCCAGCTACACTATAAGGCATTTATTGCTGGAGATACAGGCCTGTGGTGGGTCACAGGGTATATTTACATGAATGTAAACTTTATCCCTTGGTTTGAGAGACCCCCTGGGAGGTCTTCATGTTAGGGAAAGGCATAAGGCCCGGAACTGCCTGGAAGGAGCACTTTATTTTAGGACCGGCCTCACTGAAATTGCAGAATTATTGCAAAAATAAGGAACTATTCTGCACCAAACTGGTAACTAAGTTAGTATATCAGCTTTATGGACTTTAGAAGAGCAGATATTGAATGATTTTTTTTTTCCATTTTCCACTAAGTTAATTTGGCAGAAACAATATCACATTTCCCATTAGCTTCTTGAGTTCTGAAGTGGCCAAACTTAGAATGGCAACTGAACACACTGAAAGGCATCAGCACTAGGAGTAAAATGTTTCCTTCCAGCTCACAGAAATCCATCTCAATGACATTTCTTCAGCAAGTGAAGAGTTATATTTTTAACTGCAAGCATGGTCTCTGTGCAGGTTGGTTTGATCAGCATTTCAGGAAGCAAAAATCCAAAATGGCCAGTGTCACGCAGCTCGAATGCAAATGCATATGGGATGCCATTTTTGTAAGCCCAGTCCATAGAGCTGCCAGAACTCACATCTGAAAGAGGAAATTCAGAGAAAGCATTAAAAAATGTTACATGCAGATCATGCTGAAATCACCAGAGGGTTGTTGTGGCATTTTGTCTCTGGGACTCAGTGAGTATTCTTGCAACTCCAGCTGTTGCTTGCGCTGATCCTGAACACCCTTCAGAGAATAGCATGAACACTCACCACTTGGTGAAATGTACTCAGCACAATATGGATTAGTCCCTTCATTTTCATAGGAAAAAGTATTATAACTGTTTTGTGTAAAGCAAAACTTTAATAAAAATGAATATCTAGAATAAAGCCTCAAACTGTTCCTGTCTCCATGTGAACACAGTCTGAAGCTTTCTTTCCACAAAGATCTCCCAGGTGGACTGGAGAATTCTGCTGCTCCTAGCTTTAAATTGGGTTTTTTAGGCAATTCATTTGCAGTGAGAAGGAGGAAGGTTAGTAATCTGCCGTCTTCTTTTTAAAATGCTTTTAAAATCATTTCCATTTGTCTTACTTTCTCACCATTTCCCCACAGCATGAGAGTATTTGCATAGGTGATGTCTAATATTAACAAACCTTCCTGACGAAATGTGCTGCTTATATTTTTGTTATCTCCATATGTTGATTATCCAACACGCACTTTTTTATACAGAAAAATCTCTCATGTGGCCTGCTGTAACCTGTGCAATTCTGGCATCAATTCACACTGCTTTTCCTTTGACACAGTGACTGACTGCAGTGTAATGAGCACAAGAGGATGACTATGGTGTGAGATGGAGGCCCGTGATAAGTGGGACTGTAGCTGAAACACAGCAGTGGCAGAGGAGATGCAGGAAGTTACTTGTGGAAAGTCTTTTGACTTTTTTCAATGTGTGTTATCATTAGTCACAGCATTCAGACCTCATGGTTTCAGTAAAGAAACAAAAGCATCTTGTTAAAACCTGTTGAACTTCTTTTCTTTTACCTCTGTACAGAGAGCTTGCCTGACATATGCTGTTGCAACTTAGTAGTGCATTGGCAGTATCTGATAAAGATATGGTTTTTAAGACCTTAGTTTTTATTTTTAAAAAACCCCACGGTTTTATATGATATTAATATGTTATTTTCTGGCTTTTGACTCTCAAGTGCATTGCATTTTAATCTCTTTTATTGCATCAGTTGAGTTAATCTTACTGCAATCAACTGACTGAATCAGTTGCAAAACTTTCTTCTGCCTTCCTCACAACCCAAAACCAGAACAAAGTTCACTTTAAATAGTTTTGCATTCTTTGTTATAATAAGAGTTTTCTCCTTCTTACTGTAGGAAGGTCAAAGTCACAAACCTGCAGAGGGAAACTTACACAAAGTGCTGGATGCAGGGCCATATCTGTATCTTACACCATAGGCTGACTGAAGAGCATTAACAGCATTATAGGCTGCTGATTCCTGGGGAGAAGAAAAAAAAATCAAATACATAAATTAGACTTTGAATTAAATACTGTATTATGATTGGAATCTGAGTCAATGGATCATTGACTTCTGGCACAATGCTGTGTTCCATGAGTCTGTGGCAGCTAAATTAAAATTATTGTAAAGGATAAATGCATTATTTATTTTTAATGACAGCAATTCCCTGAAAAACCTTTTTTTGTATTATATAAAAAAGCTCGCTGCACCATGAATGATCAGATGTTAAGTATTTGTAATTATAGATATATATGCCAATTTAGCAACACGAAAATTTAGATGACTTGTAAAACCATGAGATTAAATAATCTCTTTTTTATGCAGTTTAAAACCCATGCATGCATTTTCTGAACATGAATTTCCCAGTTCACTAAAGCTTGTCTCTGCTGGGCTTGTGAAGGAGAAATGATGTCTTGTTGACACTCGTAGTGGTTCAGTGAGCAGAGTGGGAAGAAGGAAGGAGACAAGTTCCACTCCTGAATCTCTGATCAGCAGGTAAATGTTCACTGCTGGTCTAACTTTCTCTGGGGCCTGATGATGTAGTGTTGGAGAGCTCTTTCCACTTTTTCAGAAATGTGATTTCAGTCCTGTAGGGGGAAAATCAGTGCCTACATTGCAACAGCTTGCAGCTGAAAGGGTGTTTAGGAGGTTCATGGTACATCCTGTGAAACTGTGTGCAAAAGGCCTGGCCCATGGAAAATTCTCAGTCACATACGGATAGTGCATTGAAACACACAGAAAGGATGCACATATTTAAAAGGAGAAGGAATATTATCCCAAAGAAAAGGATGTTGGCAAATATACAGCGAATGCTGGGAAAACACAGTCATCTCTCTGTAGAGAACAGGAAATTATTATCTTTGGAGCTAGAAACTCTGGACTTTGAACCACTGCATGAAGCTGCAATGGTTGTTTTAGTTGTTTTATTTCCTTGAACAGGTTTGTTTGGTTTATGCAAGTTTTCATGAACTCAGTCCTTACCTTGTTATTTATCAGGCACTAAATGAATACACTGGGGAAGGATTGCCCTCTACTTGCCTTTCCATTGATTATGTTTCTCCTAACCTTCCACTTGTTTGCCCTTGTCAGGAGCTGGGATTCTGACTTAATCCTTGGTCTGGCCCATGCAGGCTTTGTCTGTCCAAGTAGAGAAGCCAGAGAAAACTTCTTTAAATGTCATTCCAGAAACAAAAATAAGTTCATTTTCACTTCCTGATGTGCAGGTAGAGCTTTGGTGAGTTTATTTTGCACAGTAACTCCTCTTAGCAAATGAAAGAGCACATTTTTACTCCATTACAAACATTTGTTAGGCACAACCAGAATTTTTGTTTGTTTAGCAGAAGGACGATGGTGCTGGAGACTCTGCCCTTTTCAGCTTGACCTCTTGCCACCTCCTCTGGAGAGTGTGTGGAGGCAAGGACTGCTTAACTCACTGTTTCTGGAACTTCTGCAGGACTGGGATGTGGTTGCCAGCTGGTGTAAGGGATAACTTCTGACTCGCCCTAACACCAAAGATGAGAAGGGCCTGTCCTGTGGGAGAGGGGAGAAGTGCTGTCACTTGGCACTCTGGCTCCAGGTGCCTTGATTTCTGAGTTGTGACACCCAAGACCCATGATGGGGTTGGAGTTGCTGGACCCCGTGAGGGTGGCAGGGTGGCAGTGTGAGGTCACTGTGGTGGCTGTGGCTGCACAGGGCCCGGGAAGGGCGAGCTCCAGCTGCAGCCAGGAGCTGATGTCTGGTGCCTGCACTGTCCCAAGTATGAGACTCTGTTGTTCAATCAAAATTTGCAAGCAGCTCTGCTTACCATCCCAGGGTCTTGATGAGGAGCTGGGATGGCCTGACAAGAGACCTGATGCCAAGGGAGCAGGAGACAGGGCTCAGCTGGGAGAGCTGAGAAGGCTGGAGAACTGATAAATACACCATGGCAAATAGAACATAGCCACAAATGAGAAGACTCCCTGTGCATGAGTTATGCACTGTACAGCAATGAGACAACGGATAATCCTGTTGAAATCTTTCCAAGAAATAGTTTGGCAATGCCCATTTAAAATCTGCACAACAGTAATGGGTTCTGTGCAGAGGCAGAAACTATCTGGAGGTCAGACCAGGAGCATCCCAAGTCCATGCTCACCATGTGGGCAGGCATCTCCAGGCACTGTGAACTTTAAGTTCTTAGCCTTGAGAAATGCAGCTGGCTTCCACTGTAAGACCCATGTGCCCCAAAAAGGGACAGTTCTCAACTGCATCATACTGTGCAGGTTGGATGCTGAATAAATCCAGGCAACCAGTCTTTGAACACCCTCAAGGAGAAAATGCCACATAAAATTACCAGATTTTTGCAAAGATGTACACAAACTCAGTCATGCCATATAAGTTCACTGCAAACACTCAGGCAAATGACAGTACAGGAAGAAAAAGGATGAAAATTAGGTGAAATTTAAAACTCTCGAGATGGATGTGTGTTTCTGCTGGTGTTTTTTTCAATCTAAAAGAGTACTTTCATTTTAAGCATCTTAAAAGAACAGATTTCAGGGGAGTGTTAATAAGAGTTGTGCCTAAATTAGAACAGAATATATGCATGTTGTGATCAGTACACAGCTCTCCAGTTTCAAAGCAGCTCTGAATAATTGAACACTTTAATTGAAATGGTAACTGACAGCTCACTAGAATGATCTGACCCAGACAGAAACAGCATTTCTTCTGCTCAAAACTAATCGTAGCCCACTGTTAGCACCAAAAGCTATTTATCTGCTATGCATGTGGGGTCTTACTGTTTTCCACTGCACACCGCCCACGTAGACCAGCAGTGCTTGCTCCATCAGTGTCAGGAAACAGACATCTATCACTTTCCAGCTCACTGCAATTTCCAAGAAAACTGGAGAATAAGAAACCTCAGACTAAGTAATCATTTTTGGGATTTGAAATTAAAAAAAAAAATTACATTTATGAGCCACCAGGTGATGGAGTATTTGGCTGTAGGCAAGTGTTAAAATGCACAAATAAATAACCAACAAGTATTCCCTTAGTTTTCACTATGATTCCTATAAAGAGCTTTATAAATAACAGGAAATTACTTCAGTTTCCTATTTCAACCTCTGACTTGTTTTTGATCGACCACATTGAAAAGAAGTATGAAGTTCAGATACTGACAAGATATTTAGAATTGGTATTTGGTTTTTATTTGTCCTTGGGAATTGTTTAAAATAGTGTCTTTTTTTGTTCCTTTAGGTCTGTGCTCCCTCTCATGAGAAGCCTGATCCAAGGTCTTGCAAACCTGAGGAACACCTTCAAAACATCAAAAATTGGGATCCTCTGGTCTAAAAGCAATGGGTGGAAAGGCAGAATGTGTACAAGCTGAGGGGCAGTTACACCCCATCTCAGAATGGAATTATCCCTTAAGCAACAAGAACAACAAAATATACTGGTGTGTGTGAAAACTGTCAGATAAATCTTCCTTCTCCTTACAATGAATTTCCCATCTAGAGCATCTGCTGTTGCCTTGTATTACTCTGCACATTTTAGTCAGATACCCAGTAATCATATATTTGCAGAGAAGTTGCTGATTCTTCTTAACACTATGTCTTTACCTTTTTCTCTGTTTTTTGTTCTTAAAAAAATATACTTGCACCCGCTGATCTTCAGAGGAATGAGAACCTCTGATTTTAAATTCCCAGTTTGTTTTTTTTATGCTAACTAAATTAATAAAAAATAAAATTACCCACAGTCACTACAGGGTTTGGTGGTCAGTTCCCTAAAGTCTCATCCTGTGGCTGCTTAGTTAACTTCTAATTTGCTCTGTTTCACAGGAATGGCATCAGACAGAAGAATGTTTAATAGCTACTTGATTAAGTGTCTCCACAGAAATAAACCTACAAAGAGAGTTTAGTTTGTGGAGTCCTGGCTGCTCAGCTTCCTGAGGGAACAGCTGAGTGAAACTTCAGTGAAGCCCCAGGGACTGACAACATCATTTATTCTGCACAGGACAAATCTAAGGTACAGCTATGCTCCTTTGGAGAAAACTAGCTTAAACCAGCAAGTTAAAAGTCACTGCAACTTTCAAGGTCAAAATGGGAGATAAATGGAAAATGTAATTTTAATCAGGACTGAGGATGAAAGAAAGAGGCTTGCAACTCTTGGTGCAGTGTGGGTCTGTGAGCCAGAGCAAATAGAGAGCAAAGCTTAGCCATGTGTCCCTCAGAGAATAAGCCATAAGAGGGGTTTTATGAACAGGAGGCTGGCTAAAACAGACCTCAGACTGCAAGCAGAGAGAATGGCTCTGCATTTGGATGAGAGTGGAATACATGAAAAGTGCTCATCTGTGAATCAATAGGCTTAAATCAAAAAATGTACTATTTTTAATTAATTTTTCTAATATAGAGAAGCCCCTGGTTTTAATTACCTGCTTGTCTGAAAGGGTTAAAAACACTGTGTCTGACCTGAATGATACATAGTGCAATTGAAGCTTTAATTTTGATGAGATCTAAGAGATTTCTCCTTGAATTGATAAACATAAACAGTTTCAGAGCATTGAAGAGGCTCTTCTTTGTGCTCCTAGTGTTTAAGCTCTGAGCATGAAGAGACAGAATTTCAGCTAGATGCCCAAGGACCTAACTACGTAATTCCCATTACAGTTAATTAAATAAAATGATAATAACCATAATTAAAATTAGGGATTTATCCTATAAATTAATTTAAAGGGACTGATAGATGAAAGGCACGATACCATTTTAATCAAATCACCACTGACTCATGGTGAGTGAAGGTTATATAACCAGAAATGTGATTGCAAGTGGATCCAGAAAAAATACTGCTCAATATTATATATGTGCAAAGTTTTGAAGAAACAAGTCTCCTCTCAAGACAAAATGTACCAAAAATATACAGAGGAGCACATTCTCCAAGTTTTAATGTACTTACCACGCAGTTGAAGTTTGGAATGGTTGCATATTTGTAGGAGTAAGGGTACAGCAGCATCTGTGCATAGGCATGGAAGGACAAATAGGCTTTTATTTGTTTCCGGTGTTTGCGAAGAAAATGAGCAACAGCCTTTACCTCAGGCTCAGACTCGGGAAAAGGACCACAGTAAGTGTCATCACATGGATGTAGTGAAGCACCTTCATCTAGAGGTTGAAAGAGAAAGTTGGTGGTGAACAATCACAGAGAAATTCCAAGGGTCAGCTTCTGGCTCGGCCTCTTTTGGACCATGTGTAAAAGCATGAAAAGCAATAAACAAATTAAATTGCTTTCTTGTGCCTGATGGGTGTGAGCCTGGGGGACCTCAGTGCAGCAATCTGCGTGTTCATCTCCTGGACACACCAAGCTCCCAATCCACCAACTACACAGGATTCTCCCCAGAGGACGGATTCTTTCCAAGTGAAAAAGGAGAACCTGACTTCATTGTATTTTCTTCCTGGCTTTCCGCATCAGCATTGCAGTATTAGAACTGCTGACAGGTCTCAGTTGGTCTCTTTGAAATCAGAGCTATACCTCTTTCATTAGTCACTCCCAGGACAAATGTAGCCTTTTGCAGCTTTTAATGTATTACCTGCAACAGTGGTTGTTACAATGGTAGGTAGACAGCCTCAACAGGGATTATTTTAAAAACATGTTAATAGCTCCTGACTACTGCCTATTTTTACTCCTGCAAACCTCATAGCAAAAAAAAAAAAAAAAAAAGAAAAAAAAAAGCCACGTGGGATGACTGCTCAGTCAGCTAAAATAGAAATCACCTCAGTTTGCACAGGGCCTAACTTTGCTTTAAGTTTGGGGCAGGGGTTCAGTTTTGAGGATATCTTTGTGTCAACCTGCTCAGGTGGCAGCAAGCTGCAAAAGAGTAGCCTAAATATAATATGCCATGAGGTATTGAAAGATGAAACTTAGGAAAGGAGATGTGGTGGTGTCTCCTTTATAATTTAGCAATTCTGGATCTAAGCCATTGTCTCATTTACAGCTTAGGGCCTGGGCCTAAAAGAACAATATTTATGCAAATCTGCTCTGCTCTTTTATCTGCTGCAATTTCAAAATATCACACGTTTTACATTGACCTGCAGAATAATAATAGTTTGCTTGCAAACTTCCCTGGAGCCATCAGAGACTTACAACAACGGTGTTTTATTAGCTTTCCTTTGTATAGTAAGTACTGCCACCTTCAATTAATAAGAAAAGAGCTGTGTATGAGGAGGCATAATGATACCAGCTAAAACAGGGTTATGCAATCAACCTAATGCCAAAAAAAAAAAAAAAAAAAAGAAAAAGAAGTGGAAGAATTTTATGCTGTAGTTTCATTTGTAAGATGAAAATTGAGGCTACCATTCAATGGCCACAGGTGGGGGTTTCAAAAGGTATTAGTGCTTGGATCACAGTGAATATGGAAGGGTTATAGAGAGGGCAGATGGTCTTCTCCATGCAGAACAGATGGCCACCAAGTCATCCAAATCCCAAGAGCACTCTGCCTCGATTTCTTATCAGATAATATAGCTGCAGGAGGGCTATTGAACAGTCTCCAGAGCATTTGCCTTTTTTTTTTTTAATTTTTATTTTTTAAATGGATACTTCATTTCCTGTTTCAGTGTTGTATACTGAATCATGGTAATGGATAACACTGTTAATAAACAGTGGATCTCTACAAGATAATGGTAAAATATGGCTCAGTTTAGAGACTTCCAGGGAAGGAAAAAACCTCTCTAAACTGTTCAGCCTATTATGGTGAGCCGTGTACCATCCCAGAGGTAGTTAGTGCTTTACCTTATGTGAAGCTGACTGGTAATAAAAGGAGGAGGTTTCCATGGTGGCCTTGGATAATGTAAGGGTATGCTCAGTTTTTATACTGGAAGTTCTTTAAGTAACTCAAGAATGAAAAAAGAGTTGGACATTTCTGAGTTGCAGTCATGAGAAGAAAATAGAATTGTGTAAAATGTTAACATGCTGCCTTGTTTTTGTACCTGATAGCATGCCAGGGGAGGCCAAGGATCCTCTAACATCCATGAGACCCAATGAACAGAGGAAACGTGTGCCAAGACTGATAAAACCAGTGCTCTGGTACAGAAGGATGACTGACAGGATGAATGAGCTAGAGCATGATTTTCAAATTTCCTTGCAGCCACTTATGCCAGTTTGGGATACTGTCCTCAGTGAGCACTGGGGTGCACTGGAAATTGGGATGTACTGGAAATTTTAACTCCCACTGTTGCTCTCTGGGGGATTTGGATGCAACCAGTTTAACTAGATTTGCCCTATGACTTAAATTAATTCTGATTACCCGATTATTTGCTTAAAAGTTGCTATTATTTCATTATCATTAAACCATTGTACTAGTTATTGCACATATATGTGCATTGCAAGGAGCATTTCTACCCAGAGTTCTTGCTGCCAGTATTCACGTGGGCCTGTGTGCAATTTGTGTGCACTGCTTTGAGTACAGGTTGCTGCAACATGAAATCTAGCAGTGATATGGCCCTTGGCTTGGTCCCTAGAGAGTCATAAAGCTTACATCAAAGTCCTGCACTAGAAAGGAAGAGGAAAGCAGATGGGATGCTGTGCTATCAGCACTGACTAGCTCACTGCTGATAGCATTTGGCGGCTTTGCTGAGGTTGGAGTCTGCCACAGCACACCTGCCTGGAAGCCCCACCGTGAAGTTCAAGTCTGTCTGAAAGCTCTTAAGTGCAACTCAACTGAATGGAAAGGTTTTTACAAGCATATTCAGTTTTAAATGTCAAACACACCATGATTACAGAAGCCTCAAAGTGTGATATGATCCAGATTCTTCTCTGACTCATCTAATATCAGATATTAATGAGAATGCCAGGTGACTGGTTAGGGTCTGAGTACCAGTCAGCCCAGTTCATGAAAGACCTTTTATTCTCCATTAAAATAGACAATTAGACAGACTTTGGGGTCCAAAGTGGGAAGCAGAGCTTGTGGAGCTTTTTGGGATGACAGGCAGACTTGAAAGAATTTTTATTTTTTAAACTTGGGGTGGGGACCTGTTTTTCATGTCAGTGCAGGGGAGAAATGCAACAAGTAGGGGATTACAGCACACAACACATGTGAGTATTGTTACAGTTTCACTAAGCCTAGAAAATAGTTTTTTGAATGAAAACTGAGCAAACATTTTTAGGGCTGAATAAAAAATATGTTTTAATACAGTGGCTAGGGAGCAGGAAGAGGGAGGGGGAACCCAAGAAAAATTAATTAGAATTAGAAAGAAAATGCACTGAGTATTAATTTTGTACTGATAGGTATCTAACATCTCTCAACACAATGTAAGAGAACTGATCATTCCAGCTATGCCAATGGCTATTTTCTGAACAGTAAATGGGTGTCCCCAAAAAGTACCTGCAGTTGTGGATTACGTACTTAAATAAACCATGGTAACAGTGATGCAGGACTGGTTCATTTTTACATTATTTTTGCAGCATAAAATTTCCTTAAAGGTTGTGATAGCAGCTCTGAGCCTGTCTTCTGTAACAGAGGGTTTCTCAACCAACACAGGTTTTCTGTAAATGCTTCTGTCTCAGTCCTCTCCTTGGAGCGGGTAGAGTTGAAAACAGTTTGAAGCAAACTTCACAGGTCCATACTGGATTGAATGTATGCATTTGTCCACATTCACTTTCATCCCCACAATTCTCAAAGCCCTACTTAAAGAATCCAGCTGTTTCAAGCCAGACTATACAGTGCTCACCCCTACTGCCAGGATATTGTGGAAACATCTAGGGGAAGAGGGATGGGCTGAAGGCAGGGCCCTTACACTATGCAAACACAATTTGCAAACAAATAACAAGCTTGTAATATAAATAAGGAAGGTGCACTAATGCTGGATGAGGAAACAGCTGCACAGAGAACTGAAGGAAGTGCCTTAAGATGGGAGAGCAGGTCAGCAGGAATATATAGTGCTGTATTTAAATGTTCTTACTTCCTTACACTGGAATCTTTAGGGGCTGCTTACCCCTGTGTGAATAGCACTATCTTTATGTAAGATTTAAGAAAATGCCATTTTTTCTTGGTGTATCCATTCCAAATCTTCTGGCAGTTATTTCATTACCACTGCGTTCTCTATGTAAAAGTCAGGCCAATTTTTATGAAGCACTTACAGGAGTGCTGGGAGTTTAAAATTGTATCTCCATGCATTTAGAAGCACCTTCTTTCTTTATTAACTCACTGATAATAATAGTCTTAAGGACACTGAGGCCAGCAAAATAAGTTTGACATTTCCAAAGCTAAAATAATTTCAGAGAAATGGCAAATTGGATAAAATGAAACTTGAAATGTTTCCTGAAGCTACAGTTAGGTAAATCTTGAAAAGTCGTGGTTCATTCTCAATGTTATGCTTCAAATATTTATATAATTGGCAAAATACAGAATAGCTGTATGTGATTTAAAAATTTTTGCCACATTCTCCATGACAAGTTTTTAGTTATGATAAGGTCTACTTTTCCAAGTTTGAGATCTTTTATTTTTTTAGAAGTTATTAGGAAGATTTGAGCCTTGGCTTATGGCTTTATGGGAAAAAATCTTCAACTTCAACTATGGAAAAGGGAACACTTCACAACAGATGTGATCTAACCTACTTGGATAATCACCTCTGTTGGATAATTAAATACAGGGTAATCTGAACTGGGGGACCAAAGTATCTCCATACTTACCACACCATTTCACTTTCCAGTTGCGATTAGCATCAACACCATGACAGTGAAACCTCATGTTCTTTGATCTTGTTTTTCTCCAAAATCGATCCTAGCATAAGTTACAAAATATTTAAATAGCAATATTACTCTATTTTGGCAAAAATCTATTTGTACATATAACAAATGAACCCTGGTAAACATATTCAGTATTCTGTTTTAAGTAGAATAATTTATTTCCAAGGCACAAAGTGATGGACCAGATTTATACAGAGTCACCTTTTAATAATGTAATAATCATTTGATCTTGTCTGAATAATACTACTGTCATTACTTACATTTGTCCAGCTGAAATGATATCCATCCACATTAAATACAGGCATAATATAGAAATACAGCTGAGTTAGCATCTTTCTCATGTCAGGATCAGTCTGGTATGTGTGAAGAGCCTAAAGCAGAAAAGCCAAAGGAAATAGTTTCAATAATAAAAACAATTTCCCAATTAAGTACTGTGATGTACTGTGGCAGTCATGAGGCATTTGGCAGTACAGAGGTCTGCTCTCATGGCAGCACAGACATCCTTCTACCTGTGCCCGAAAGGCTGACACCTTCCTGTAAATGTGATTCAGACAGTGTGTGAACCTGTGAAAAAGGTGTTCTAAAGACCCTATTCTCTCTGCTTCTCTGTTGCTTTCAATACTCAAGAAAATACAACTCATATTACAGAGAAGAAAATGCATGCAATGTTTTTCTTGAAGTAAGAGCTGAAAGTCAGTGGAATACTGAAGAATTAATTAAAGAAATGAGTTTAGCTCCTGTAAGACAGTGGAGCCCTGTTGTTTCCACTAGGTGATTTGATAAGGTCTTGAAGCATTTAAGGCTCACATTAACAACACAGCTTTTGTCTGTATTCAAAGTCACTTACTACATGCACAATTATCAATACAGGCAGTTTATTCCTTTACAATTTAGACACCTCTCTATTTTTGGAGAACCTTTAGTATATAGGTTAATAAAAGAAGTCTAGGTAGGGAAAGTTTTTTGTTTTTTATCCATTCTGCATCTTAGAAAAAATGCAGCAAAACCAGAGGCTCCTCAGCAGTTCTATTTGCTAGTGCCAGAGATGCTCCTTTACCAGTTCCAGGAAGCTTATACTCCACATTCTCATGCAAATACTATCCCTTGACATAGCTGGGCATCAAATTAGCATCCTTCAAAGTTTAAGTCTTGATTTTATAAGGAATCCAGTGCTTCATGTGGCAGGTGGGAAGCATATCACACTGATGCTGGGTTCAGAGGGATGCCTAAGCCTGGCTCCTCTCCTCCTGCTACTGTGATTACAGCCTTCTGTTCTGCAGTATTTCTTGCCCTTCAGATCTGAAGAGTAGCATGTGTTTGGGGAGCAAAGGGAAACATTTGCTCTAAAATAAACTAAGCTAAATGCTTTTCAATTGACAAATGCATGGGAGCAGTGTGAAGTGCAGGAATTCAATACTTCTGGGCTCCTGACGATGCAGCTGTTTGAATTACTGAAGCTGCCATGGGAGCTGATGGATGCTTTGTGTGGAATATCTGTAAGAAATAACCATATATTTGGACATGTCTGGGGCTGAAATTTACTCATGGAGGAGTATGACATTTTTTTTCTTTACTGAGGGGATTAGTAGGACTTCTAAATACTTCTATGTGGTTCATTAACCATCCCTCTGTTATGCAGCACTTTCTCCTTGCCCAGCTTCATCTCCCCTTCCCAAAGTGCTCTGCACGTGCAAGTCCTTCAGCCTCACTGTCAGATCCAAAGCAGCACATGATCCTTGTGAAAAGCCAAGTCACCCAGTGCTACTCCACACTGAGCTCCTCTGCTCCAGCCAGGCAAGAGCAGGGGACAGTGAGAAATAGAAGGCCAGGCAAAGCACAGAATAAAATGGGACAGGGTGGTGTGGAGCATTGCACCTTAGGATGAGATCCTGAAAGAGATGTTTGGAGGGGAGAAGAGAATGATAGTGTGCTTTTGAGGGGAATCTTGATGGATTGCCCAGGAGAGAGCCCCAGCCAATGAGGAGGTCATGGGTTCCCCGGTCCATTTGCCAGAAATTCCACAAAAATTCATAGCTGGTCTTGCATTTAAATTTGATTTACTTGTATTAAAAAGCCATATCAAGCCTTCATATGGATTTGGATTTAATAAATGATGTTAAGGGAAATGCAAAAAAATTAGTTTTGTCAAAACATTGATTTCTCAAATCAATGGTTACTCAAAAACAATGATCATGAAAATAAGGACTGTGTGTTACTGCTATTTCACATGCAGATGGCACATATTGAAGTAAACAGGGCTACTGTGTGCATTAGGCTGGCCCTGCACTTATATCTGGACAAGACTAAGAGCCTGTGTGGTAAGTATGGCTGTTAAACTGGTAAAACTGTTCTTACAGCTGGAAACAGAACCAATCTATGCTCCAAAATGTGAGTTAAAGAAAATGAACATTTTTATCTTGCTTATTTCGGAAGCAGTAGTAGGGAGAAGTAGTTTAGCTGGGGAAGAAATAAGGCACCACACACAACTTCCTTGATTTTTCACTGCTTTCCTATTTTTAGACAGTATTAGCAAATTAAGCTCAGGTTGTGTATCCATCGTGGGTATTTACATACCAGTGACAATGAAATTGTCATATGTGTTTGTATCTGTATTTTGTATGCTGTTCTTTTGCTGTCAGTTACATTGGTAGTTATGCATTTTATTACACTGGGCTATATACTATATTTTAAACTGCAATGCTGTAAGACTAAACTCTTTGAAACACTTTAAAAATAACTACAGATAATTAATCAATGTAAGGTAATATACTGCTTAAAATAGCATTAATTAATTTTGCATATTTTTCAGAACCTTTCCAAATTTGCAAAAAGTGGCATAATGAAAATATTTGAATTATGACCTTTTAATATACAATATGTTTTAAATCCTGGGAAAAATAGATTTTCCTTGCTAGATGAAAGCACCACCATTTAGAAGCCTAAACAAAATATAGGCAGCAAAATGCCAAGTTTTATAGTGACTTTATGTTATTTTAATTCCTGTTGTCATTGACAAAATACTAGAAGAGACTTTGGAAAGCATTATAGTCCCCAGTAATAATCCTCAAAATTGAAAGTCTTAAATCTGGTTTAGAGCCAAATATGTCATTCAGTTATGTTCTTTAAAGAATATATGGGGTTTTAAAATAACTTTGTTACCCTTTTAGAGTGGTATTTCATTAAAAACATAGTGGATCTAGAGTGGCTGTCTCTTTGAAAGCAAGCAGATAGTGTGAGATCATATTCACTCTTTCTGCTGAAATACTTCATCTTTCGTACTGCTTTTATCTGGTATTTTTATTTGATGTATGTAATCAGGCAACACAGACAGTACAATCTTTGGCAATGAGCCTTACAGTCACTAAGGTGTGTCCTTGCTGGAGCAAAGCCCACAGCTTGCTTTTTGTGACGTGACTCTCGAGTCCTCCCAACACTGGTGATGTGAACCACCTCCCCCACCCGCCCGGCCGTGCTGAAACCTTTGCTCTCTGCTGTGACACGAGCAAGGCGAATAGAAACCATTAGTGAATTAACTGCATTGTAGTTTGCAGAGAGCTCTCAGAATATGGGTTGGTTCTGCTTGCCCATCACGCAATCAATAGCAGCTTTGCTGCTGAATGTGCAGAGAGCCGGAGCAGCCCAATAAACGCTGGATCGTGTTATTAGTGAGCGAGCAGATGATAGAGGAACGCTGCCAGCACCGTGCAAGCAATCTGCCTGGGGGTGGGGAAAGCACCAGTGATTAATGGGATGGGGCTCCATCATCTGGATCAGCTGAGTGGTGGCTGCTGATAGAGCTACACCAGTTTAGGCTGGCTGAGGATATGGTCCAGAGGAAATTTAATTTAGGGGTCGAAGTAAACAAAAGAGCTATATTGTAAACTGCCAAGGCAATAAAGACAAGAGTGCAAAATGGATTTAGGATGCAGTTAGGCTTTTTATAAAATCAGGGGATTGAGTGAGAAGGACAAAGCAAGGAGACAGGGTTGAGAGAAACTCTGAAATCCCAATTGAGCTTAATAAGGATTTGCTATCCCACAATTAATTATTATTAAATTTAAGGTAACAATCAGCTTTTGCTCTTTCTGATTTTGAATTAAACAATGATACTGAATTAAACAGTTACTATTTTAGTCCAAAGAGCTGACTCCATTTACTGCTCTGCCAGAAATTGCACAAAACTGCTTCTGGCAAAACAGGATTAACTCTTCTGTGCCATTATTAAGATATCAGGTAAAACACAGCTTTTCTGACAGTAACGCACAATATTTTACTTTTATCTGCACATGTTACACTTTAGCAGGCTGACACTATGATCTGCCATTCTGGCCCTCATTGCCACTTTATCAGTTTGGCAAGTTAGTAATTAGCTCTGTCTCCACTCTTGGAAACACTATACAGCTTTTTATCTCTGTTTTCCCTTTTACTGCTAGTGTCCTGCTTTGGCATTCAAATCACAAGCAGAGTGGTAAGCCCATTATTAATGCTAAGATACAGCCCAGTATTTAAAAACAAATGGCTTAAAACAAAGGGTCAAATTTTCAAGGCTGAAGCTTGAACCGTGTCTGATTTATCCTTTTTGTTTAATACAGTGCAAAACCTCCCTTCCTCTTTGAAGGCATTTACCACAGGAGAAACCCAGAAACAGATGAGAAAGAGGAGTGTGCTGCAACTACTCCTCAACACCCATAAAAAGAGTCTGACAAGAAGGATCTGCAGAATCCCAAAGACTTGACTGTGTAGCTCCTTAAGGATGCAGATGGAAAAGATGCTAAAGCAGAGAAGAGGCAGAGGGATGGTGGTGGGATTAACATGTTAGAGAAGCACACAGCCATTCCAAGAATCTTGTGCAAGGCTGGGACCACTCAAGGAAGGGCAGGATCTTGTGGAAAAGAAGATGCATAATTACACAAATCTTAGCAGAAACTAGAAAGACAACTTCTTGGTTCTACTCAGAGAGGTAGTACAAAAGGAAAAAAGAGAAACCTCTTAGATGCCAAACAAGTCAAAGACTGCCTATCTGGGGAAAAAAAAGGCCTGAGTTATTCTGAAGCACTGTAAATGCTTTGAAAGGAGCAACACAGATTTCTTTACTAGTAATTGTATGAAATTAGTGCCCACCAAAATATAGGTCTCTGAAAAATGTAATTATTGAATTTTGCATCCTAATTGTGTTGCTCCATGGTAGTACATATTGAGGGAAACTCAAGAGAGCTCACTTGAGTACAAGGTTTAATTAAATTTTTGAGACACAATTAAATACTTAAGATAAAAACAATTGCTTGTAATTCCATTTCTGGAACAAATTAATTGCCCAACAAATGGAATTTTCTTTCACAGTCCTATTTCATGCTCAGTAGTGTTTCTGCAT